CAAGACCCACAGTGAAGACCCCACCTCGCGCAAAAAAAACGCTCCAACACGCACGAGATCGCATCCAGACAACAAGCGGCCCCCGAACCAAAGAACCCACAACGACTGCATTGGGGTCGGCGGCAGAGGCGGCAGCCTTTAGATCAATTATCCTCTCCCCTGCCAGCAAGCGCTATCCAGCTCATAATGTGTCGATCGTAGATAAGCGAGGCAAGATACATCGCAAGGTGCACATATCACAGATCGACAAGTTCCGGGCTTATCGGTGCAGAACAAGCAGACATCTGTGCACGTACGTAGGCGCGCGAAGGAGTCCACGATCAATGTTTCATTACATGCCGCAAACATGTTCTATGGCGAGTGCTTTCCTGTAAAAGCGGTCGCGCATCAATTCCCCAAACAATGCTTGCACTCAGGGGTTCATCCTTGCGTTTCTGAGGAACTGGGTGGGAGTCCCGAAGATTGCCGGCCCGTTGCCGCCCGTTGCCGCCTGAAGGGGGGCCCCGGAGATTCGCCACGTGCCGGCCCGTTGCCGCCCGCTGTGGGCGCTCGTCGGCGCCCCTCGCCAAGCTTCGCCTGGTGCCCGCCCGTGGGCGCCTCGTGGGTGCCCCGTGCCCTGGGTGGGTAGCACAGCTTGCACGACACAGCTCACACCGCACAGCTTACACCGCAAGCCTGCACAGCATCACAGCATAGCGCACATCACGTATGTCACATCGCATAAGTTACACAACACATGTCACACCATATAGCTTACACAACATAGCTTAGACCACATTTCCGCCCCCGTGCCTCTAGCACGAAGTTGAGTGCCCCAAGGCCCATGCAGCTCTGAGAGGTAGAGGCTGTGCTGCTGCTGCAGCCAGAATTGTAAATATTTCAGGGTCCAAACCAATCGCTTCCCAAGCCGTCCTGGGGCGGCCCCCGTGAATGCTGGGATGTATTCCGCAAGAGGGCCCCAAGGCGGGCCCATAGAAGCCCCCAAGACGGTCCAAGAGGGCCCCGAGTCGCTGAACGATCGCTCCAAGACGCTCGAGATGGCCCCCAGATGACCCAAGAGGCCTCCAAGACGCCCAAAGAGCCCTCCAAGAGGCCTCCCCAGAGGGCCCTATGATGCCCAAATCATAAATTGTCCGCAGGCTTTTGAAACATGTTGGCGTTCTCGCCCTCGAGGCCCCTCAGACCGCCCCCAGGCGGCCCAAGAGAACCTCAAAACGGCCCAAGAGGGCCCCAAGACAGCCCAAGAGGCCCAAATGGCCCAAGAGGGCCCCAAGACGGCCCCCAAAGGGGTCCAAACAGCGAACACAAAGCGAAAATCCGAGCCTTCCGCCCCAAGAGGCCCCAGGAGGCCCCAAGAGGCGCCCAGGAGGCCCCAAGAGGCCCCAAATAAGCCCCCAAGAGGCCCCCAACGGGCCAAAAAGAGACCCCAAGAAGCTCCCAAACGGCCCCAAGAGGCGTCTAAACTGCCTCCAGGAGGCCCCCGAGAAGCTCCCCACAAGATCCCAACGAACATCGAATAGGCTTCACGCTCAGAACCCAGGCACGGTGGCAGGATGGGCCCAAGGATATGAGATGTATCACATCACAGACGTCGCTTGCTTACATAGCATAGCTAACGCCACATGTATGTATACTCATGGCATTCACCTCCAATGCAGAAACCGTCTATTGTGGGTCCACGCTGGCAAACACGGAACTACCTCATTATCCTTCTCATTCGCACTCCTGCTCATCTGCCTTCACCATACACTGCCATTGCATAATGTGTTCCTCAGCCAAGGGGTACGACGCGGCTCGGGGTGATTCTCTTGGAAGCAAGCTGGGTAGCATCCCGACGCACGCTGAGATATCGCTTCGGACTTGCTCTCCGACGGTCCAACCAAATGATCAATGCTGCACGCGAACATGATTACATACCTCCCTCCGCGATGCCTCCCCTGTGTACGTACGCCCTTGTTCCAGGTCTGTTCCTTCATCTAGAACAATCGCGCGCGCTTCGCGCGCGCTCAAATTCTCATTGTAATTGGACCAATCGTATAGCGCGTCAGAGGGGCGTGTACGGCTGATCGGATCCTTGGCTTGGAAGCGCACGCTCTGGTGTCTGAAGTCGCATTGGAGATGTGTATTCGCGGCAGTCCTGGGCCATCCTTGGGAACTATTGCAACTCTCTTCTGGTAACTTTGGGCCTCCGAGGCCATCTTGGAGCCACACGTTCGCAAAACATGGGATCTCCAGGCAAGAAAAGAAACCACGTTGGACTCCTCGTGGTTTTGACTGATCTGGCCCGCTTGGAGTTCCCTTGTGGGCACTCTGGCGGCTTCTTGGGACCTCATTGTGCTGCTGGGGGTGTCCTGGGGCAGCCTGGGGGGCTCCTGGGGGCGTCGTGGGGCTCTCGTGGAATTTCTGCACAGATCCAGCAGCCTCCTGGATAAGCTCAGGGGAGGCCCTGGGGAGTCCCCCAGAAGGGAGGCGCCACTGAGAGGACCCTGAATGCCCCGTGTGTGCTGCGGCCTGAGGCCGCTGGGGTCGGGCTTCCCATGTATGGATGGAAGATCGTGGTTTCAGGAGGCAAGATAGAGGATGGAGGTGGCAGGACGAGTAGAGTGGAGAAAGGCGGGAAAAGGCGGAAGCCAGATATGGAGGAGGGAGTGGAGAAGAGGGACGGTGAAGGGAGGAAGCGGATGTGAAAAAACATCGAAGAGGAGGAGGAGTGTGGATGGAAGACAGAGGGATGCAAAGTGGAAAGGACTGGGACAGGGAGGGGCAGGGCAGGTGAAGGAGGGATGACGGGGGGATCACCGAGATGGGGAGGAGGATGGAGGGTGCAGGAGGACGAATGTACAAAGTAGGGGGCAGGAGGCAAGAGGAAGTGGGAGAAAGGAGGGAACAGAGGAAGGTATACACGAGGAGCGAGTGTGGAACAGGGTTGGAAGAGGAAGAAGGCGAAGGCAAGATGGACATGAAGAGGGAGGGCGCATGAACGAGAGGATGCGAAGTGAGCGAGACAAGGGTGTTGAGGGGTGGGGGGCGTAGGCGTAGGATGAGAGAAGGCGAAGAAGGAAGGAGGGGAAAGAGGAGGTGGAGGAATAAGGGGGAGAGTGCTCGTATACCTTCTGGAGTGGAGGTGTCTCTGATCTGAGTCGTGCAAGAAGTAGCTTGTCGTCTCTACGGGGGCCCATCGGGAGACTCGTGAGGGCCACATTGGCGGCCATTGGGGTCAATCCGGGGCCTCTTTGAGGCTCCTCGGGGGACTCTGGGGGCTTCTCGGGAACCGCCGGGATGCTCCCCGGGCCATCTTGGCGCCAAGGGCGATCGGAGGGCCGCTCGGGGTACCTCTTTTGGGCCTCTTGGGGACCCCTTGGGGCGCTTGGCCGTCTTGGGTGGCTCTTGGGCCGTCTCGGGGCCATCTTGGGTTTCTTGAGACCCTCTTGGAGCCCTCTTCGGCGGCCTTGGGGCGCTCTTGGGGGCCCCTAGGAGCCGCATTGGACGCGGGTAGGATAACACAAATGAACATGCCAAACATCTACGCTTTCCCACGGGAATGGGGCGATGTTTGCCGCTCGGAGCCCTCGAGGGGGTTTTCTTGAAGCCATCTTAGGGTGTCTTGGGGACCTCGGCCGTATTGAGGCCGTCTTCAGCCGTCCCGACCTTCGACCGTGGGCCCTGGGGCTTCGGGGAAGGCTCCAGGGAGGCTTCGGGGACGCCCCGGGCAGGTCCTGGAGAGGCGGGGGCACTAAGTGTACCCTGGGTGCCCCTGGTGGTGGACCAGGGCCCAATGGGGCCAGACAAAGAGGGACAGGAGCAGAAGGAGAAGTGGAGCCTCTGGAAACGAAGAAGCGGAGGAGGAGGAGGAGGAGGAGGAGGAGGAGGAGGAGGAGGAGGACAGAGGAGGGACCACGGTGCCCTTAGTCCACGTTTGCACCTCCTAGCGACCTTCTGTCCATCCTGCCACCGTGCCAGGGTTGTTGGTGTGAGACATCTTGAATGCCTGTTCGGGTATCTGGGGAAGCCTCTAGGCAGCCTCTTGGAGGAAGTTTTGAAGCCTCTTGGGGCGCTTTTCGGAGCCTCTTTTGGGCCTCTTTGGGCCTCTTGGGGAGTCCTTGGGGGCCTGCTGGCGGTGGTCTTCGGGGTCCTCTTGTGGCGGAAGCCTCCAAATGTAGGTTCGAATTCCATCCCTGGGGCCCCTCCTGGCGCCCTCTTGGGGCTGTCTGGGGCCGTCCTGGGTGCCTCTTGAGCCATCTTGGAGCCCCCTTGGGCTATATTGGGGTGTCTTGGGAGCCCTCTTGGGCTGTCTTAGGGGCTCTCTTGGGGGCCTCCTGGGCCGTTTTCGACACTGTCAAATAACAACAAAGTTGCTAGAAATGTGAGTTGTCCAGATGACATGGGACAATGTTTGCCTCTTCGGGCCCTCTTGGGGGTCCCCTTGGAGCCGTCTTGGGGCGTCTTGGGGGCCGCTTGGGCCGCCTTGACGCCATCTGGGACCATCCGGAACCCATCTTGGCCCGTCTTTGACCTATATTTGGAACCTATCCAGAAGCTCTGAGGCGGCCGCGAAAGCTGAAGGGAGGCTCTGGGGAGGCCCAGGGGAGGCCCAAGGGAGGCCTCTAGGGGTGGAGGGGAAACTTAGAATATTTGAGGTGGCCCTGATGTTCTGAGGCCCCAAAGGCCCCGAAGGCCCCAAAGGCCCCATGTGAGAGATAAGCCGTGCGGGGCTGGGTCATGCGAGGCAGGGTGGGGACGCGAAGCAAAAGCGCTCGTTCCTGAACGAACGACAACCGTCTTTGTCTCATCCCTCCAACCCCAGCCCCGAGGCCGTCAACAGCGAAACTGAAACCGACAGACCGAAAACAGCAACCCGTCGAACCGAACCGACCAAATGCAGCCGACAGCTGCGCAGCCGATCGAACCGAGTCGCGGACGCCCCTGGTTCTCGGTTCCCGCCCCCTCACCCCTTCCCATCCGTCCCGCCCGCTAGCCCCACGAAACAATGGACCCCGCACCTCGCAGTCCTTCCGGTACGACTCCGCCTCTGGGGCGCCAGGATTCGGAGAGTGCCAAGGCAGACAGACGAGGAAGGCAGGCGGACAGGCCAGGACTTAGCATGCGTCCATCTGCTCCGCCTCCTCCTCCTCCTCCTCCTCCTCCTCCTCCTCCTCCTCCTCCTCCTGTTGGCACCTGTGCCACTGGGATCCTTCCCTAGGAAACAGGCGGGTAGCCTCCCGTTCGTCACCCCAAGTGCTCTTTCGGGGCCCTGGGGGAGATAAAAAAGGTAGTCGTAGGCCGTCCCAGCCTGCGCCACGGGGGAAGGGTCGCACCTGGGGTATCGGGGCTGTGCCCGACTCGTCCTTGTGGCGGGCGGGGGCAATCCAGGGCCTCAGTGCGCGGCTCTTCCTTCCGTGTTCCGTGCCTGGGTTGTGGGTCTGCCACGTTTTGCTGCGACATCCTTGCGTGGTCCTCCCAGTACTCCGCTTGGGCGAGGGTGGTGTCGCGGGTCCCCTATGCTGGGGGGGCTCATCGGAAGATCCCCGTCCATTTTGCCCACGGTCACGGTCCCCCGCCGTGGCGTGCGTGGGGGCGGGCTGTCCCCGAGGGAGTGGTGCCCCTCGGGTGGCTGGTCGGGGCGGCACGCGCAGCGTGTCGTAATATGAGGCCTCGGAATGTCAGAACGGGTTTGTAGGACGGTTTACCGGCTTACCTGCTGCCTCCTGGCGCATGTGGCGCCCCTGGCGCGCGTGTCGGGTACGTCTCTCGCCTTTTTTTTCGCAGCGTTGCTGCCTTTAGTGGCTCGCGTCGCCTCTTGTGCATGGACTCGGGGCGGGGCCGCCTCGCCACGGGCGAGCTGGGTGTGAGCCCCCGCCGCTGGCCTGTTGGGCCGAGGGTTGAACCCAACCACGTCCCCCTGTCGGTGGGGCCCTCGGCCCAGCGCCGCGCATTTTGCGCGCCGCTTCGCCCGCGGCGATCGCGGGCGGCCGAGGGCGGCGGGCGCTCGTGCACTGGTCCGTTTTTCCGTGTGCTGCACTCCACTCCACTCCTCCTCCTCTTCCTCCTCCTCCTCCTCCTCCTCCTCCTCCTCCTCCTCCTCTTCCTCCTCCTCCTCCTCCTCCTCCTCCTCCTCCTCTTCCTCTCAACCTCCGATTCCTCCCCTCCTCCTCCTCCACCTCCTCCTTCTCCCTCATCTCCGTTTCCTCCTCAATGTTCCTCCCTCCTCTTCCCTCCTCGTCCTTATCCACCGCACCTTTGCATTCTCTGCCACCGGCCTCCTCCTGCTTTCTTCCCCGTCGTCCCCAAACTCAAGCTGGGGGGACTGAAGCCAAAGTAGTCTGGCGAAGGACCCAACCATACGCGGATATGGGTGCCGCACTTGTGAGTATCGTCTTCGGTGGAGCTCCCTATGAGGCCACGAAACGTGTGAGGGGTGTGCCGAACCAGGGGTGGAACCGTATGCGAACCCAGCCACGGTGGTCTTCGGCAGAGCTCCCTATGGGACCACGAAGCGCGTGAGGGGTGTGCCGAAATGGGGGTGGAACTGCATGCAAACCCTGCCACTGGGGCCTTCGGTGGAGCTCCCTATGAGGCCACGAAGCGTGTGAGAGGTGTGCCGAAATGGAGGTTGAACCGCAAGCGAACCCTGTCACTGGGGAGTTCAGTGGAGTCCCCTGGCTGGGCCCACGAAGCGTGCGCGGTGTGCCGAAATGGGTGCGGAACTGCATGCGAACCTTATGACTGGGGCATTCGGTGGAGCTACATTTGGGGCCACGAAACGTGTGAGGCGTATGCCGAAACTTGGGGTGGAACCACATGCAAACCCTGCCGTTGAGGACTTCGGTGGAGCTCCATATGGGGCCACGGGGCGCGTGAGCGGTGTGCCGAAATAGCGGAATTGCATGCGAACCCTTTCTCTGGGGCCGTCGGTGGAGCTGCCTTTGGGACCACGAAATGGGGGTGGAACCGCATGCGAACCCTGCCACTGGGGCCTTCGGTGCAGGCGCGACGAACTGGGGGGTGGAACCGCAAGCGCATTCTGTTGGGTTTTCGGTGGAGCTCATTGTGCGACCACGACACGTGTAAGGGGTGCGCCGATGTGGGGGGTGGAACTGTATGCGAGCCTTGCCGCTGGGGCATTCGGCGGAGCTCCCTGTGGGGCCACGATCCGTGTGAGGGGTGCTCCGACATGGGCACGCAACTACATGCGAACCCTGCAACCGGGGCCGTCGGTGGAGCTCCCTGTGGGCCCACGAAGCGTGTGCGGTGTGCCGAAATGGGTGCGGAACTGCATGCGAACCTTGTGACTGGGGCATTCGATGGAACTACATATGGGGCAACGAACCGTGTGAAGGGTGCGCCGAAATTGGGGGGGGTGGAATTGCATGCGAACTTTCCCACTGGGGCCTGCGGCGGGGTTCCCTATGGGGGCACGAACTGTGTGATGGATGCACCGAAATGGGGAAGGGAATTTCATCATGCGAACGTTCAGTCCCCTGTGGGGCCACGATCCGTCTGAAGGGTGTGCCGAAATCGTGGGTGGAACTGGATGCGAACTGTCCCATATGGGCCTTCGGTGGGGCTCCCTGTGGGGCCACGAACCATGTGAGGGCTACGCCGCAATAGGGGGTGGGACTGCACGCGATCTTTCCCACTGGGGCCTGCGGTGGAGCTCCCTCTGGGGCCACGAACCGTGTGAGGGGTCTGCCGCAATGGGGGGTTGGAACTGCAAAATGTCTGGTTCTGTCTGGGTTCTGAAGGACCTTGGCAGTTTTGGTGCCAGGTGGAACCCCTGGGGGGTCTTGTGAGCGACCGTCCTCCGGCTCTCTCGGGATCCCGTGAAGTCCTTTCTTGACCCTCCTCAGGTTCCGAGGCTCATCGCATGCGAGAAGGCGAGGTCTTCACGAAGACCTGTTCGCCCTTACGTTGTTAACGATCTCGGGACTCCTGGGCGCCATTAAGATGGTTCGTGGCAGTGTGGTGGGGGCAGGCAGTTGACGAATTCATCACGAAGAGGGCTGCGATCACACCTGCATGTGCCTCATGTGTTCAACCCTGTGCCTGACTACCGCCGGTTTATATACCCGGCCACCCATGCCTCATGGGACTTGTCGCGACAATTTCGCATATCGCAGCCCCCCAGGGGACGGCAAGGTCTCGCGGTGAGCCGCTCCTCCGCTGGACCTCCCACGAGCCCGCGAAAGTGGCGACAATTTCGCAGATCGCAGCCCCCCCCAGGGGGCGGCGAGGTCTCGTGGTGATCTGCGGGACACACCCCTCCGCTGGACCTTCCAGGAGCCCACGAAAGTGGCGACAGTTTCGCTGATCGCAGCCCCCGAGGGGACGGCGAGGTCTCGCGGTGATCTGCGTTGGGCACCCCTCCGCTGGACCTCCCAGGAGCCTACGAAAGTAGCGAAAACTCCGCAGATCGCAGCCCCCAAGGGGACGGCGAGGTCTCGCGGTGATCTGCGTGGGGCACCCCTCCGCTGGACCTCCCAGGAGCCCACGAAAGTAGCGACAATTTCGCATATCGCAGCCCCCAGGGGACGGCGAGGTCTCGCGGTGAGCCGCGTGGGACGCCCCTCCGCTGGACCTCCCACGAGCCCGCGAAAGTGGCGACAATTTCGCAGATTGCAGCCCCCCCAGGGGGCGGCGAGGTCTCGTGGTGATCTGCGTGACACACCCCTCCGCTGGACCTTCCAGGAGCCCACGAAAGTGGCGACAGTTTCGCTGATCGCAGCCCCCGAGGGGACGGCGAGGTCTCGCGGTGATCTGCGTTGGACACCCCTCCGCTGGACCTCCCAGGAGCCCACGAAAGTAGCGACAACTCCGCAGATCGCACCCCCCCAGGGGACGGCGAGTTCTCGGGGTGATCTGCGTGGGACACCCCTCCGCAGGACCTCTCATGAGCCCACGGAAATGACGTCAGTTTCGCAGATCGCAGCCCCCAAGGGGACGGCGAGGTCTCGTGGTGATCTGCGTTGGACACCCCTCCGCTGGACCTCCCAAGAGCCCACGAAAGTGGCAACAGTTTCGCAGATCGCAGCCCCCCAGGGGACGGCGAGGTTACGAGGCAGGGAGAAGGAGGAAGAAAACGAGGAGGAGAATGGAGGGAGGAAGGAGGAGTGGAGTGGAGCAACCCGAGAGGCGGACCGTGCCAGGGCGCCATGGACCAACCGTGAGAGCAGGAGCCGGCTCGAGCACTCAGTGGCTCAAGAACCACACCAGCGCCCCATCACAGCTGGAGCCCGCGCGGGCTTGTCCAGACACTGTGGCTGGAGGCGGCGAGGCTTACCGCGGAAACACGCAAAACGAGGACTGCAGGCGTCTAGAACCGATGCGCGCGACCAGTGTGCGAGGCGGCAAAAGCAAAAATAGCGCAGCGCAGCTAAAAGCGTTCTAACGATTTCGAGGCCTCACGTAACGACACGCCGCTCTCGGTCGTGCCTCCCCGATAAGTCACCCAAGGGGCACCACTCCCTCGAGGACAGCCCGCCCCCATGCACGCCACGGCGGGGGACCGTGACCGTGGGAGGAAGAAGGAGGGGGATGAGGAGGAGGAGGAGGAGGAGGAGGAGGAGGAGGAGGAGGAGGAGGGGGAGGAGGAGGAGGAGGGGTAGGAGGATGAGGAGATACTACGACGACGACTACGGCTAAACTCTTACCTACTGCTGCTAGTACTACTCTACTACTAACTACTACTACTACTACTACTATACTACTACTACTACTACTACTACTACTACTACTACTACTACTACTACTACTACTACTAGCTACTACTACTACTACTACTACTACTACTACTACTACTACTACTACTACTACTACTACTACTACTACTACTACTACTACTACTACTACTACTACTACTACTACTACTACTACTACTACTACTACTACTACTACTACTACTACTACTACTACTACTACTACTACTACTACTACTACTACTACTACTACTACTACTACTACTACTACTACTACTACTACTACTACTACTACTGACTACTGTGCTACTACGACTACGCTACTACGACTACTA